TAGAATAGAATAGAATAGAATAGAATAGAATAGAATAGAATAGAATAGAATAGAATAGAATAGAATAGAATAGAATAACATTGGTGGAAGGGACCTTTGGAGGGGACCAACCTCCTGCTCAGGCAGGAAATTCTATACCATTTCCAATAAATGGCTATCCAAATCTCTTCTTAAAAACTTCCAGTGTTGGAGCATTCACAACCTCTGGAGCAGGGGTTCCCAAACTTGGCAACTTTAAGACTTGTGGACTTCAACTCCCAGAATTCTCCAGCCACTTGAAGTCCACAAGTCTTAAAGCTGCCAAGTTTGGGAACCCCTGCTCTGGAGGCAAGTTGTTCCACTGATCAATTATTCTAACTGTCAGGAAATTTCTCCTTAGTTCTAAGTTGCTTCTCTCCTTGATTAGTTTCCCACCCATTGCTTCTTGTCCTGCCCTCAGGTGCTTTGGAGAATAGCTTGACTTGAAATGCTGGTTACCAAGAACCCAATTTTTGACTGCAATAATTGTAAATGTGAGGATTTCACTTGTTTCAGGCTAAAGAAATGATTATAAATTGTATGTATGTATAATTTACTCTCCAATACACTGAGGTCTGCTTGATTCCTGACTGCCACCTTGTGGTGATAAGTTGATCAACAGTTTTCAGAACCTTCTAGTAACTAGTAGTCAGCTTTTAGTAATCTAGTTCATATCTTTAAGGACAAAAACTCCACACTTCCCCCAAACAAATGTCTGATTTATTTCTTACTATTCATTCAAATAAACAAACCAGGAAAGCTAAACAAGGTTAAGGCCTAGTTTGATTTTGGACAGAAAACTAGAAAATGTAGGTTAGACTGGAAGGTCAACCCATCATATCAGGAAAAAGGCACCAATAAGATACACACAACTCTTCTTTACTGTTTGCAAAGGAACACTTAAAATGTATTTCTTTCTTTCATTTATTAAACAAATTTAAGATGGAGTGGAAGTGTGTGCACTGAGTGATAGATAGATAGTCCTCGACTTATGACTGAAATTGAGCTCAAATTTTCTGTTGCTAAGCAAAATCAATGGGAAAACCCAGATTCACTTAAGAACCATATTATTATCTTAACAACTGCAGTGATTCACTTAACCACAGGGGCAAGAAAGGTTGTAAAACAGAGCAAAACGGATGTAGCAAGAGAAATTTTGGGCTTAGTTGTGGTTGTAAGTTGAAGCATACTTGCACACAAGAATCTAGTCACCTAACAGTCATCACTATATTGGCGCTAGAGTTAACGGAGTGGTTGGAGTTGAACATAACAATTCTAGGCTGATTCCTCTCTTGATCCCGAACCGCAGGCTCTGCCTTTCGTTCTCCTGCAGTCATGGCTACTGTAAGAAGAAATCAACCCCACTCACTCTCGCTATCCCAAATAAAATATTAACCGTAAGGAAAAGCCTCAGAAAAGCCAAAAGGCCAAGGTGCTAATAAACAAAAGTTACCTGAAGCCCATTCCACATTCCAACCAGAGGCCTAAAGAAAACATCGTAACAAGAAGCTAACTGCACATGTTGGCACTGAAGGAGATAAAGGGCTTATTAACGGAGGAAGCCGACTATCTAGATGGCTCCATTCATAAACAAACCAAATACTGCCGGTGGAAGTCCATTCAAGACAGGATATTTCAAAACCCCTTAGAGCAATTTTGACAGCGAACAAAAGCAAGAGTGATAGGATTAGAGTAAGCAGCCCCTCGGCCAAAAATCTAACACAGGACATAGCTATCAGCCACTGGTATTCTATAGGGTCGGCTCGGTTTGGCCAAACTGGTAGTAAAAAATGCTGCCGTTTGGCCAAACTGGTAGTAAAAAAACAGCTGTCAGTTCAACCGAATGAGTATTTCTTTCTTTTTTTCCTCCCAATGATCAGCTGTTCTGATGATCAACTGTGCCGGGATCCCCCTCACTGTCTTACTGCTTCACCCAGGAGGCTTCCCTGAGGCCCAGGAGGCAAAAAGAGGCTCATGTGGGGGAGGGGGGGTTGCTGCAAAAAAAGAAGAAGCCACGCCCACCCAGTCCCATGGCTACGCCCACCTAGCCACGTCCACAGAACCAGTACTAAAAATATTTGCCTCCCACCCCTGCTATCAGCCACAATGAGAATTACCCAACATCCTTTCAGAACACAAAACCCATATTGGACAAATCCCAAACTTCAAAGTTACAGAAGCTATAAAGATCCACCCACTCATTCAGCCATTTTGGTCAGCTGCCCCAGAACCACGTGCTGCTGGTGGTTCTGCTTTATCAATAAACCAACTTTCTTTCCAATCGGCCTCCATTTTGTTCCCAGCATGGAACTGAACCGGGGATTTTTCTTCTTACGCTGCCATCTTGAAGCTCAGGACTGGTCCCCACGGTCTCCTTTGGTTATTGTACTTAGGAAAAATAACTTGTTAATAAACATTCAGTGATATTAATTAGTCCCATCAGAGCAGCGATAATAAGGCTGCTGTTCAGTGCTTAGTTGACAGGGAGAACCTCTTATTAAACATCATGGGATTTGCTGCTTGATCAAGATGGTGTTGTGGCCTTCCAAAGGCTAGTGGAGCTGGCAGCAGAGTCGGACAGTGAGGAGGTTGGGGAGGAACATGGGCCTGTCCTGGAGGCTGAGGAAGGCTCTGCATCAGAGGCAGAGATGGGGCCAGGGCAGTGTGGCAGTTATCAGCTGTCCTCGGAGTCAGACAGCAGTGAGGCTGTAAAGTAGCTGGAGCTGGTTCCAAGCCTGCACATGTGCAGAGCTGCCAAAAGAAAAGAACAATTGTGAATTAAGGGTGGACATGGGAGTAAAGCCACAGGTGGACGGTGAATGGCCCCTCCCATAGGGATTAAAAGACGAGCGAAAAGGGAGGGTTTTTTTTGCAGGAAACAATTCATTTGTTGCAGCAGTGTGAAGATCTGCCTGTGCATCGCAGAGACTATGTGCCGAGTCCTTCCTTGTCAGCGCTGCGTATGGAAATATTTACTTGGCAGCTCTCCAAGGTAGATAAGGTCTGTGCTCCTAATTACACCCTTGAAAGACTGTTTGCCAGGCCTTTGGCTGAAAGTGAATGCAAGAAATTCACCTTCGTTTAATAAAAGGGGTTTTGCCAGGACAAAGAGTCTGCTTAGTGCTTTTTGGAGAGGCCTAGGTCAGAACAGATGGATGTGTAAATGTTTCTTCACAGCAAGGATCCAGACAACAAGGCTCCTTACACCTGGTTCTCCCCCCAAAAAGTGGCAGCAAGAAAACTGAAAGCCAGGTTGAATTACGTCCCTCCTCTCGACAAGAATATCGAGCGAACTACCAAAGAACTTTGTGACGGATTCAATTCTCTAGTAAGTCAAACAAATTCTTTGTCAGTCTCTCATCTTTGGCCCCTTTAAGACATGTGGACTTCAACTCCCAGAATTGGCTGAGTGGGGGATTCTGGGAGTTGAAGTCTATCTACCTTAAAGGGGCCAAGCTGGAGAAACTTAGCATGGAATGTTCTTTCCCAACCCAGATGTCTTCTGTTCCAAAGAAACCGCGTAAAATAGAGTTGGACTTCAAGACCTATAATCAAACACTAGCCTCTATGAGGTTATGGGAGTTGTAGTCCAACATATCCAAACTATACTGTTGGGAAGGGGCTGCTGGACTAGTCTTTGCCTCTCTCTTCCACCCCATGATTTGATCCAACTCTCATCAATTTCTTATCTATTTTGAATCAAATGTTTATATCTAGAGTAATTCCAGGAAAACATTTTTGCAAATTAAGAAAAGAGGTCTTGGCTTTTTGAATTTGTGTGTTAATAGTCAGCTAGACATAAATAATTACTTAATCTTCAGAGGTACCTAGCTATATTTTATATCTGTATGACTTGTTGAGTTCTTGGCCAACAGATTTGTACTGTATTAAACCTGAAGTATTTTGTAATTTTGAAAACCGTAACCGATTCCTATATGCTTTCTAAAAAGCAGCATATTTCAACACTTGTTTAACATTTTTCCTGACAGATAAATAAATACAGATAGTCCTTGACTTATAACCATCAATTTAGTATCTGAAGTTTCAAAGGCACTAAAAAAAAGTGACTTATGGCCTTTATTCACACTTACGACCATTGCAGAATTTCCATGATCACAGATATGTGGCAACTGACTCACTTTTAATACGATTCCTGTGTCCCAGAGTCATGTGAACCCCTTTTCTGATCTTCTGACAAGAAAAAAAAATCAATGGGGAAGCCAGATTTGCTTAACAGTCATGTTACTCACTTAACAACTGCAGTGATTCACTTAACAACTGTGGCAAGAAAGGTCATAAAATAGAGCTAATCTCATTCAATAACTGTCTTGGGAGTTCTGGGCTCCATTATGGTTGGAAGTCAAGGACTACCTGCAAGTCAGTGAATGAAATATCTGTTTTTCTGGAGAAAAATGATGTGTTTGTTGGATACTATGAGCCTCGGTGGCGCAGTGGTTAGAGTGCAGTACTGCAGGCTACTTCTGCTGCCTGCCGGCTGCCTGCAATTTGGCAGATCGAATCCCACCAGGCTCAAGGTTGACTCAGCCTTCCCTCCTTGCGAGGTGGGTAAAATGAGGGCCCAGATTGTTGTGGGTGATAGGCTGACTCTGTAAAACCGCTTAGAGAGGGCTGTAAAGCACTATAAAGCGGTATATAAGTCTAAGTGCTATTGCTATACTTGCACCTGATTTGAGTACCTATTTCAGGGAGGAGAGAAGTACAATGTAGATGAAGATACCGTTCTAAGTTTGTTTGATGTGGGTTATGAGACTACCCTTCCGATGTTTCACCCGCTGCGTGTTGAGGAATTCCGTGATCTACCAATGGACCTAAAGAAATATTTTGGGATGCCACCTTCTCAGGCTATTAGAAAGAAACCTGATCAGGACGTTAAGCCTTCTAAGGTGGGTGAACGTCGAACGTCCAAGTACACATTGCGTTGAATGAAGGTTATTTGTTAAGCCTTGATTTTTGCAAAGACATTTCGCTTGCAAAGAAACAATAGAGATGCTCCATACAGAGAATCCTTCACTTACAACCAGGAGTGGCCTTCAAAAATTTTAGCAACAGGTTCTCTGCCCTGTTGCTGGGTGGGCGTGGCCATGGTGGGCGTGGCCTAGTTGGCCTCCTGCACCATGGCAGGGGGGCATTTTTGCTCTCCCCAGGCTCCAGAGGCTTTCCTTGAGCCTCCGGGAGGACAAAAATGGCCTCCCTGGGCTCCCGAGGCTCTCTGGAAGCCGGAAATAGGCCCGAGCTTCCGTGAGGCCTGTTTTTTGCCCTAACCAAGCCTCCGCACGCACCTTGCACTTACCTGCATCCAAAATGGGCCACATAGGGACTCCTGGGAGGGGAGGGGAGGGGTGAGGTCCAGCCACAAGTGGGTTTTGGGGGTTCTTCGAGCTGCACAGAACCTTAGCTGGGGCTCTCCCGAACCGCTGCGAACCCCTAGCAGCCCAGCCCTGCTTACAACCGGTACATTATGATGTACTTTCCTAGAGCTTCCCATGACCCAGTTTCAAGAGTTCTGAAATGGCTAGGGGGGCCATCCTGCAATCATGTGATCGCGTTTCGGGTGCTTGGCAACTGTCTCACATTTATGTCCTTTTGTCCTGTTGTTGTGGTTAGCCAGCAGCAGGTGCGGGCGGCTGAGGAGAGCGAGGACTCAGATGAGGGGCCAGGACTGTTAGGGAGTCGACTGCTGCCTTCAGAGATTGTGGGGGCTGGCAGCCGCGATGAGGAGGTTCCCGAGGAGCCTGTGCCAAGTGTGTGTGCACGCAGGCTTTCTCGTAGGAAAGAGCAGTTACAACAGCGCAGGCGACTCAGGAGTAAGGCTGCATTTGTAAGGACCCTCCTTCAAGAAGATAAAAGCCAGCTATGAAATGAATGTACTTTGCAGAAGGCAAAGATGTTTTGAAACTCAGCCTCGTGGACATTACAGTATCTTAAGTTGGTATTTGAAGGCTCTTGTGTTGTGAAATATTTCTTCTCTGTTATCTTTTGGCAAATCTCGCACAGTTTGGCAAGGCTTGTGCTTATCGCAGCTAATTATTTTGCAAAAGCATTACAAGGTTTCTTTTGGATTGTGTTTGATTTGTTGGAAAACGGCGTGGGTCAGAACACCTATGGTCACATGGCCAAGATTTATGATGTTTCTTTGCTGTACACCAACATTTATTTCCAGCCACAGAGACGCATTGGATACAAAGGACTCATTAGCAATCACAGTGTTTGCTTTGCAATAGGAAGGGAATAGGAAATCCCTTCCTATTCGCGCACCATTTGAAGGATTTCCAGAGAAAAATCACAGACTACAGGAACCATTTGCACTACTCAGGTGACCCTGAGGACATAGATAAACCTCCAAGTGGCCTCAACGACCCTCTAAAAGGATGCAAATGATCAGCTGTCAGCAAGGAATACAAATCCTTCCATTCCCCAACTATCATGTCAGAACTGAAGAAGCTTCTTGGATGAGAAGGGAAACGTCTTCAAAAGAAAAAACAAGAAAAGTCCAGTTGCCTGCTGAAAAAATCCCCTTTGGGACAATGCTTAATGACTGCTAGGGGAAAAAATTGGGTGCGGTCATATGGTGACTCGCTTAACAACCAGAATGATTTGCGACTGTAATTCCAGGCTCAATTACCGTTGTAAGTCAAGGACTACCTGTATTTTTCCATATGTTCCATTCCTGTCTGCATTGCTGTTTCCTGTTTGATGGAACAAATATGCACTGGAATTTGGGGGAAAGGCCACTGGTGCAAATTTGAATCACACAGATCCCCTTTCAAGGCGGCTACTTCCTCTCGAGCAAGTGTCAGATGCAAAGGATCAGGACCATCCATTAAAATTGCAGCACAGAAGATTTTTTTAAAAAGCCTATAAACCAGAATTTGGTCAACGAAAGTTCGACATTAAATTGGGGCCAGATAAGAGTCAACAGATTCAGGACAGGCTGGATTTGCACCCTTTGTGGCAACATAACGATCCCAAGCTGATAATGTACTTAACTCCACCACCCAGCTCTGCCTGCTCTTCTCCCACAGTTGATGGTTGAATTTTCAGCTCCTATGTTTGCTTCCGGCAGAAAGGGAGACATCATGGGATAGGTCAACGCCTAACCTTTGACCACATGAAAATGATGCTCCTTCCCTCTTTCTCTTCTCCCAGGACCCTGGCCAATCCAGATGGAAAAAGACGAGATACGGAGCCTGGTATCTGGACCCAAAGACGTGGAAAAAACAGAACGGGAATGAACCTTTAGAAAACCCCAAAGAGAGCAGCCTCAAGAATTCCAGAAGGCTCTTAAGTGAAGAGGTATGTTGCAAGCTCCTGTGGGGGGGAGGGAGGGAGGGAGGGAGGGAGGGAGGAAGGAAGGAAGGAAGGAAGGAAGGAAGGAAGGACTTATTTTGAAGAGATCAGGCAACCATTTGTTATATCATTTCCTGCCTGAGCAGGTCCATTCCAACTCTGTTATTCTGTTCTGTTATTCTGGTAAGTAAGTAAGTAAGTAAGTAAGTAAGGAAGGAAGGAAGGAAGGAAGGAAGGAAAGATGGAAATGGAAGGGCATCCTTGTTCTGATTTTTGGATGATTTTTGCAGGATGCCAAGCTGATACAAGTTCATGGAACTCACGCTTTCCAGGAATTTCTTGTAAAAAAAGGTTATCGGATACCGGAGGTAAACGTCCAATGCCTACCCCACACCCAGAGGTGGCATTCAGCTGGTTCTGACAGGTTCTGGAGAACCGGTAGCAGAAATTTTGAGTAGTTCTGGAGAACCGGCCAATCCCACCTCTGACTGGCTCCACCAACCCCATCTATTCCCTGCCTCCCATTGAGTCCCAGCTGATCGGCTGGATCCTCTTTGGTTGCCCTGCACAGGAGAACGGAGCTGGAAAGCAGGTTAGTGAGGTGGGGAGGGAAGGGGGATTTTAGTATATCTTTCCCCTGCCATGCCCACCAAGCCATGCCCACCAAGCCACGCCCATAGAACTGGTAGTAAAACTTTTTGAATCCCACCACTGCCTTCACCTAGCAGTAAATCAATATGTTGGCCTCCAGATGTTTCAGCATTTTGTTAAAATTGGTTGCAGCCAGCACAGTCAACAACATCCCAAATATCTGGGGAGGGTATCAAGGTACCATTCGCTGATGTCTAGCCTATAGTCCTCCTTTTTGTTCATATTTAGCTGGTTGTCCACTAAGACTCCAAGATCCCTCTAACAGTTACTGCTATTGAGCCTGGTTTCACCCAGTCTATATGTGTCCTTTTGATTTTTCTTGCCTAAGTGTAGGACTTTACTTTTCTCTACATTGAATTTCATTTTGTTAGATACGGCCCAGTGTTCTAGTCTGTCAAGATCCATCTGGATCTTGAGCCTATCTTCTTGGGTGTTAGCTATTCCTGCCAGCTTAGTATCATCTGCAAATTTGGTAAGTTCCCCTTCTATTCCCTCATCTAAGTTGTTAAGGAAGAATTAACTTAACAACTGGAGTGATTCACTGAAAAATAGTGGCAAGGAAGGTCAGAAAATGAGCAAAACTCACTTAATTTAACCTTGCTTAGCAATTGAAATTTTGGACTCAGTTATGGTCGTAAGTCAAGGATTACCTGTCTCGCAGCTTTTGAACAATGCTCCAGAACTCCAACCTGCTATAATCCACAGGATTCTAAATAGCAACTTTTATTTCTAATAAACTGCTTTCTCAGAATCCTGAGAAATGCTCACTTTTAAAGAAAATATCTTTCTTTTATTTTTGCACTTCAAACTCTCTTCTTTCTCCAATAGGATAAAATAAAATGTCTCTGAAATTATTTTGGCTTTGTGTAATAGCAACTTAAGGGACGCAGTGGCTCAGTGGCTAAGACACCGAGCTTGTTGATCAGAAGGGTCGGCAGTTCAGCAGTTCGAATCCCTAGCACTGCGTAACTCCGTTCCTTGTCTCAGCTTCTGCCAACCTAGCAGTTCGAAAGCATGTAAAAAATGCAAGTAGAAAAATAGGGACCCCTTTGGTGGGAAGGTAACCGCATTCCGTGCACCTTCGGTGTTTAGTCATGCTGGCCACATGACCATGGAGACATCTTCGGACAGTGCTGGCTCTTTGGCTTTGTAACAGAGATGAGCATGAAAATGACCAGCACGTATGTGCGAGGGGAACCTTTACCTTTAATAGCAACTTGCTAAAGTATAGGTCTTGGGTGGGGTACCATGTCTCTTGGAGATTAGGCAATGGCACCTGAAAATATTCTGCCTAAAAACAGCTGATGGTCCCCTTATCAAGCAAGTGACGATCTACATTGCGATACTCAGGAAAAAAAAGTTTATATTTCAGGAATCTGTTGGGGGACACCGGTTCCTGCAGTCACTTGGAAGCATCAGAGCCCTTCTATAAGATCAGGTTTCTAACGTCTTTGAGTCGGCAAAAATTGGGACACAGAAATCTGTTACCATGGAGTGAAATTGTATGTTTTGATTCAGTTTTTGCAGCAGATGCTGGAGGAGCAGGAAGGCATTGAGCCAAAAGTGGGGGCTTTGAACAACACCAAGGATGAATCCCAGAAATGCAAAGAGCTCCGAGAAGATTATTCACCAGTGGTGGGAAACTAATAAGACCAAACAATCCAATGATTAAGAGAACGGAAGACACATGTAGCTCTATCTATGGTGCTATTCGAATAGGAATTCTTTCTAAGGATATGTACAAACACAAAGTAAACTGCTCCAAACTCGATTGCAGAAAATACGACTTCAGCAACAGAGTGGTCAATGTCTAGAACTCACTACCTGACTCTGTTGTCACATCCCCAAACCCCCAAAACTTTAACCTTAAACTGTCTACCGTGACCTCACTCCGTTCCTAAGAGGTCTGTAAGGGGGCGTTCATAAGCATACCAGCGTGCCTACCGTCCCTGTCCTACTGTTCCCATTTATTCATACTCATTTATTATGTACATACCTATACCTGTTTATACTTAGATGTTTATATGTTATATTCATCCTTATACCTATTTTCTCATACATACTTGACAAACTAAATAGAATTCTTTATTGGCCAAGTGTGATTGGACACACAAGGAATTTTTCTTGTTGCAAATACTCTCAGTATACATAAAAGAAAAGATACATTCGTCAAGAGTCAAGAATCATAAGGTACAACACTTCATGATGAAATAAATGAAATAAAAATGTATCTGCATGAAATTTTCTGAGCAACTACCTCTAATCCTTTGCCTCTTTCTGAAATCGATTGGAACATCTTGCCTTCAGAAGTTGTGGGAGCTTCATCCCTGGAAGCTTTCAAGAAGAGACTGGACTGCCATCTGTCAGAAATGGTGTACGGTCTCCTGCTTGGGCTGGGGGTTGGACTAGATGATCTACAAGGTCCCTTCCAACTCTGTTAATCTGTATTAATCAGAGTAAATTATGTAGGTGGAATCAACAGACCTGCTTGGTACACCTAGAAAAACTCAAGAGTCATCCAACGACAAATATTTTCTTCCACCTGTTTGTTATTGCTGTCTCTAACCACACCACACACAACTGCTTAGCTATATTCCCCACCTACAATTGGCAGGACATCCTGAGGTCTTCAATCTTTCTCCCCCTGCAGTATGTCTTTATTGTCGCAGTGGTTAGAGTGCAGCACTGCAGGCTACTTCTGCTGACAGCCAGCTGCTTGCAATTTGGCAGATCGAATCCCACCAGGCTGAAGGTTGACTCAGCCTTCCATCCTTCTGAGGTGGGTAAAATAAGGACCCAGATTGTTGGGGGGCAATAGGCTGACTCTGTAAACTGCTTAGAGAGAGCTGTAAAAGCACTGTATAGCTGTATATGTCTAGGTGCTATTGTGCACCAGAAGTGGTTTTGTGCTGCATTGCTGTCCATACTTCTTCAACATACAATGTTCTAAAAGTTGTCATTGTTGGTTCCCTCTAATAAAATTCTGCCCCTATCCTAACCTCACCCACTATGTGAGGTGAGCTTCAAATCCTCCCCACAACCACAAGAAATGTGTAGGGTGGGAGAACAAATGTACAACCAGACAGAAAAGACTATGGAGATTCTCAGTCATCCCAGGTCATAGTTGTCCCAAAGGTGCTTTGTTTTCAAGAGGCAACTGGACTTCCTTTGTTTTTGCTTTGAAGACGTTTTGCTTCTCATCCAAGAGGCTTCTTCAGCTCTGACTGGATTATGGGGAATTCTAGTCAGAGCTGGAGAAGCTTCTTGGATGAGAAGCGAAACGTCTTCAAAGAAAAAACAGTAGCCTCTTGAAAAAGCACCCTTGGTTAATTCTTCGAAAAATTTTTTGGGGTAACTTAATTGGGATTGTCTGAAAGATAAAGGGCAATTTAAGTATAGTAGACGAGATGAGCGTATTTGAATTAATTTAGGTGAAATGGATCTTACAGACTGTCAAAAAGGATACTGTTTGCTTTTACATGTATCCCTTTCATCTCTTACTCCTTTCTTTCCTTCTTTTTTCTTCTACACCCTTTACTCTCTTCTTTCTCCGGTTTGCTAGCCAGGATGTTCTTTTTTTCTTCCCTGTATGTATTGTTGATATGTTTTTAATTGTAAATTCAATAAAATTTATTTAAAAAAAGAAAAGAAAAAGCACCCTTGGTACAACTAGATAGAGAAGGAGAACCCGTTGGAACTACAGGTTTACTGCTGTGGAAGATATCATTCCAGGCAGATTCCTCCGTTCCCTCCAGAATCTTACATTGTCCAATATCCTGCATCTTAAACTGGAGTAAAGAGATGAAACATTGGGGGGTTATAGGTCACAATGAGCACCCAACTAACCAGGATCAACTCCAAAATATTTTGACGGAGCACTGGCCCTTGAAGTGGTATATTTGTTTGTTCATTTATTTTATACACACACACTTACATATACCCACTCAAGACAACGAACATATCTAATAATTCTTTTTCTTTCTATTTTGCCCACAAGAACAACCTGTGAGGTGAGTGAGCTGAGAGAGAGAGATTGGCCCAAAGGCAGCCAGCCAGGGGTCATGGCTGAGGTGGAACTAGAACTCACAGTCTCATGGCGGTTGGCCCAAAGACACCCAGCTGTCTTTCATGGCTGAGGGGGGACTAGAGTTCACAATCTCCTGGTGATTGGTCCAAAGTCACCCAGCTATGTGTCATGGCTGAGCTGGGACTAGAATTCACAGTCTCCTGGTGATTGGTCCAAAGATACCCAGCTGCATTTCATGGCTGAGGTGGGACTAGAATTCATAATCTCCTGGTGATTGTCTGAAGACACCAAGCTATCTTTCATGGCTGAGATGGGACTAGAATTCACAATCTCCTGGTGATTGGCTCAAAGACACCCAGCTGCATTTCATGGCTGAGGTGGGACTAGAATTCACAATCTCCTGGTGATTGGTTCAAAGACACCCAGCTGCATTTCATGGCTGAGGTGGGACTAGAATTCACAATCTCCTGGTGATTGGCTCAAAATCATCCAGCTGGCTTTCATGCCTGAGGTAAGACTAGAATTCACTGTCTCCCACTTTCTAGCCTGGTGCCTGATGCCTCATACGTAGGCCACGCCCACCCCAGCTCCACAAAGGGGAAAAACATTGCGATACATCACACGACGGCCACGTGACAGGATGGCAAGTTTGACACCCAGGCGCTAGACCAAACTGACCCTTTATGCCCCTTTTACAGCAGTGAGAACTCTAACCCACTCAAGCTCACAATAAAGTTGAATTTCGGTGAAACGACGATCGCTCTGATGAATTATTATTTTATTGATGACATGCAAGGAATGAAAAGGTTAAGTACAGAATGCAGATAATAAGGGGAAAGCAATAGTTGTTTAAATTGGAAGAAGCATGTGGGGAAGAAATCATGGGAAAGCATTCTGCTGATGCAGAGGAAGAGATGGATCACTTTTAAACCTTCTTTTCAGCGTTCAGAGCAAAGCGAGAATGTCTACACCAAAGACTTAGGAATGGCTACTCTCTTCCCCCAGGAAGGCTGTGCTTCCAAGAGAGAGAGATGTCTCGGGAAATTCCCAGCAGCCAGGCCAAACTACAATTCCCAGGATCTTTTGGGAGAACAGAATATTTATTGGAGCTCTTCCTCCCCCTTCTTAATTCCATGGCAGGGGTCCCCAAACTTGGCAACTTTAAGACTTGCGGACTTCAACTCTGAGTTAAAGTTCACAAGTCTGAAAGTTGCCAAGTTTGGAGACCTCTCTTCTATGGCTTTTTACTGATCAATACAGATACCCAACATGGCAGGGAGAAAGGAAGGAGTGGGGTCCTTGCAGATTTTTAAAGCTTAGGATATGTAACTTCCTACACACACGCACACACACACCCAAATGTGCTGTGAAGTGGAAGCAATCTCTGGTATAATAAGGTCAGACATTTATCTGTGGTGTAGACATGCTCAAGATGCTCCACAAAACAACGACCATGTTGTCTAATCCGGATAGCAAGCTTCGGGGTTTAGGGCTGTCAAAATGGTTGAAGTTTTCCCCCTGTGGGAGAACAAGGTAGAAGTCGTGTAACACTTATTCCGGTCATAGGTGTAACAGGGTTCCTCGGGATGACCGCATAAAGTGCTCTCGCCAAATGTCACTCCTTTTTCCGTTCTCGAGGGGACATCGCATTTGTCACAGCTGGAACAAAAGAGAAACATTAAGGCGCTGGAAAAAATATTCTGGAAATATCACTTATACAGATTACCAGAGTTGGAAGGGACCTTGTAGGTCATCTAGTCCAACCCCCTGTCCAATCTGGAGACCCTACACCAGACGTCCCCAAACTTGGCAACTTTAAGACTATGCTGGCTGGAGAATTCTGGGAGTTGAAGTCCACAAGTCTTAAAGTTGCCAAGTTTAGAGACCCCTGCCCTATACCCTTTAACAGAATAACACAGTCAGAAGCTATCTTGTAGGTCATCTAGTCCAACCCCCTGCTCAAGCTATCTCGCTTCCTGTTTGTTGCTGAAAGTGCAAAATGATTTTATAGAATTTCCTCCTCTTTGCAGCAGCTCCTGCTTTGGTCTTCATTAATAGGAGAAGAAAGCTTAAATTGCTCTAGGAGTATATAGGGAGTCGGATACAGATTAACAGAGTTGGAAGGGACCTTGTAGGTCATCTAGTCCAGCCCACCGCCCAAGCAGGAGACCCTTAGGACTACGATTGAGCTCAGAATTTGTGTTGCTAAGTGAGACAGTTGGTAAGTGAGTTTTGCCCCATTGTACAGCCTTTCCTGCCACCATTGTTAAGTGAATCACTACAGTTGTTAAATTACTCACATGGTTGGTAAGTGAATCTTGACCAGGTGACCATGGGGATGTTACAACAGTCATGAGTGTGTAACAATAATCGCTCTCTGTTTTCACTCCTGTTGTCGCTTCGAACACTCACTAAATGAATGGTGGTAAGTTGAGGATTACCCATATTACCTTCTGATTGGTCAGAAAAGAATTACAGGTACTCCTCGACTTACAAACCTCAGTTGAGCCCAAAATTTCTGTTGTTAGGCGAGGCATGTGTTAAGTGAGTCTTGCTCCCTTCTACGACCTTTCTTGCCATGGTTGTTAAGTGAGTCACCGCCGTTGTTAAGTCAGTAATACAGTTGTTAAGTGAACCAGGTTCCCCCATTGGCTTTGACTGGTCAGACGGTCGCAAAAAAGGATCACAGGTGGTGATCTTGGGATACAGCAACCGTCATAAATCTGAGTCAGTTCTCAAACATCTGAATGTATGTAAATCATGTGACTATGGCTTAATAAATAAATAAATAATAAATAAAGTGCCGTTTGAATCACAAATAAAAGGTGCTTTTTCCAAACTTTGTTTTTCCTTGAAGTCGTTCCGCTTCTCCTCCAAGAAGCTTCTTCAGTTCTTTCAGATGAGAAGTGGAACGTCTTCAACGAAAAATAAAATCCAGCTGCCTTTTTTTTAAAAAAAACAACACTTTTGAGACAACCATCACCTGGATGACTAAGAATCTCCATAGATAAAAAAGAGAAAGAGAGAAAAACTTACAGCTTGGAGAGCTTGTAGACAAATTTGGTTCTCACTGGTGAGATGGGATCAGAAATGTTCTCCCTGGCGTTGAGGGGAACTCTGTAAAAAGGAAATACAAAAAATAAATGACTGTGTATTAATTTGTTCTCATGAAATGCAACAGGAATCTATATTTGCCCTACTACAAATTGTCTTCAGAAATGCAAAATGCAGAGGGATGTTAAGGCATCACTCACATGATACGGATGTTCCTCTCCAGGACTTTTTCTTCAGGGTTCTCTTTATCTGGGACAAATTTTGATGTCACTTTTACACACTGGCACTTGTTGTCCACCAGAACTTTCCCTTCATCTTCCTCCTGCCAGTAAGCTTAAAACAAATAAAGGAACCACGTGGGAAGCTAATCAAGGAGAGAAGCAACTTACAACTAAGGAGGCATTTCCTGAGAGTTAGAACAATAAATCCGTGGGACGAGTTGACTCCAGAAGTTGTGAATGCTCCAACACTGGAGGTTTTTAAAGAAGAGATTGGACAACTGTTTCTCTGAAATGGTAGAGGATCTCCTGCTTGACCAGAGGGTTGGACTAGAAGACCTCCAAAGTCCCTTCCAACTCTGCCATTTTGTTATTCAAAGAAATGTGTCAATAAGAAATGAGAACATTCTTTAATGCCTTTTAATCCGGGGTTTGATTTTAATCACATGTGTTCCAACAGTTTTGAGACAGCAAGGCTGTCTGAAAGAGAAGTTGGACTATTAATAATATTGAGAAATGTGTCTGAAAGGGACTGGAAGCTAAATTTAGGATAGGTGCAAAGGAAACCGAAACCGCAGCCTTTCAAGATGCACTTTCAGACATAAGGCAGGATTTTGCAAGCTAATCTTTAGACAATAAACAAATACTTGAAATTAGCGGAGTCACCTCTTACTCTACGCTTTCTGCAATGCTGGCTGGGTTTGTGAATTTGGCAGCCCCCAAGTTAGCCAATCGTATATTGACTCAAATATATTGTGCAAAGCTAAGCCTCGTCTGGCCTTCCAGCTTTGATTCCCAATCAAGCTTCCTACATTCTGACCCAAAAGAAAGAACCTGTAGACTTAAACCAGAGACGTTCTCTAGAACATTCTGCTGTTTGAAGCTTCTGAATGAAGAATGACTACAGTCTCGTAAAAACTTGTGCGTCACCTGTAGTTCTAAAGCTGCATTTGATTTTTTGGGGGGGCTAATTTCATCTTGAGGTTGCCCTAATGTCAAACCCCCGTTACCTGTAGCTCCTTCCCTGGAAGCTGCTGTGTGTGTGAAAGAGAGGGATGGGCAGGAGGAAGAGAGAGAAAGAGGCAGGGAGGGAGGGAGGGAGGGAGAGAGAGTGAAGGAGGGACAGAGCGGGAGAGAGGCAGGGAGGGAGAGAGAAGGGGAAGGAAGGGAGAGAGGGGGAAAGAGGGAGGGAGGGAGAGGTGATAGGAAGAGAGTGGGGAGAGAGAGGAGGGGAAAGAGAGAGAGGGAGAGGAGGATGGAGGGAGAGAAGGGAGAGTGAGAGAACCAAAAGAAAATATATTTTATTAAAAGAATGGCTGCCCCACGCTCATGCTTCCTGCCTGATTCAGCCCTATTTAATGTCCGCCACCCCAACAGCTTACTTGAGAGGGAGGGAGAGGAGATAGAGAGGGGGGAGAAAGTGGGTGTCATGAATGAGGCACAATTGAAAAAAGATGACCCATCTCCATCATTGTCCAGATAGGTCAGTCAAAGGCTGGACTTCTTAAAGCATTTTTTTCTCTCTAATTGTCAAGACTCTTGTGTGCCTATGTGTGGATGTTTTCATTTTTTCATATTTTTTTTCCCAAGGCCGTTAACATCCGCTGGACTTTCTCTTTGGAGGTATCATGATGGGAAGAGCTTCAACTTGTTGAGTTGTCTGTTACTTAGTCACCATGATACAAAAACAGATGGTGACACACACACACACACACACACACCCAAAAAAAGAGTGCAGAGAAGAGCAACCAAGATGATTAGAGGGGCTGGAGGCTAAACCACGATTGAGAAGGATTAGGATATGATATGATGGCGGTGTCCCAATATTCTCTGTCCCAGAGAAGAGGGAGTTGGCTTATTTTCCAAAGCATCTGAAGGCAGGACAGGAAGGAACACTTGGAAGATCATTAAAGAGAGATCCAACTTAGAATTAAGGAGAAATTTTCTGAAAGTGAGAAGAATTAATCAGTGGAACGACTTGGCTCCAGAAGCTGTGGGTGCTTCATCACTGGAGATTTTCAAGAAGAGACTGGACAGCTATTAGTCCAGAATTGTATGAAATCTTCTGCCATGGGCTGGAAGGGTTGGACTAGAAGACTTCCAAGGTCTCTTCCAACCCTATTATTATTCTATGTTCTAGTTTTCAATTTTGTGGGTCCAGGATTCCTTTAAGTAAAAGGGTGCAGCTCTGTTAACAACTCCATATTTTTTCTGTTTCTCCCTTCCTCACAAGGTTGTGAGCACATCTAAATTCCACCCATCTGCACATTTGTAGAGTTTTTGCACGAAGCAGAAAAAGGCATATTATTATTTCAGGTTTTTATGATTAGGAAAATAAATGGATTGTACAAAAAACGGTTAGGGTTTCTTCTTTTTGTATTCAAAATCTATAAAATATTCTGCATGAGAGATCATTCTGCAATTGCATTTATATTTGTTGCAAAGGAAATTGGAACCTTCTTTTTATTTTTTTTCCTTTTGATTCTTTCTTTCTACACTTTCGCTTTTCTTTTTTTTTTCCTTTACTGTTTCTCCTCTGTGTTAATTTGTGTTTTATGGGTTTGGTAAAACTTTAAGAAAACATTTATATATATAAATAATAATAATGTCCATCCATCTGGGTTAGGATTAAGCACCTTGGGATTGTTATTTTAAAACATGGCTATGAAAATGTAAGGAAATGTAATGTTTTAAACACAAAATAATACCGGAATGCTCATTTTATTACATTAAAAGTATTTAAATTAGGTGTCTGTCTCCCCTCATCACTTTAAATCAGGATAAAATAAGGAATTTGGTTCCACATTTCTTACTTTTGAGCTACCAGTGAGATTTCTTACATGCAAGAAATATTGGAGTGCTCATTTTTATTGAATTTGAAGTATTTAATGAATATTTGTATGTGTACCTTCTTCCTCCCATCACTTTTAAATCAGTGTAAAAATAATTTATTTTACTCCAACATGTCTTCCTTTTAACAATTAGCTATTATTAAACCCCCAACATTTTAAATGAGGATAAAATAAGCATTTTATTCCAACATTTCTTACTTTTTAACAAATAGCAACCAGTAAAACTTTTTAAAATGCAAGAAATACTGGAATGCTGATTTTACTGAATTGGAAGTATTTGATGAATATTTTTATGTGTATCCTCTTACCTCCCCCCATCACTTTTAAATCGGGATTAAATAATTTATTTATTTTATTCCAGAATTGCTTATTTTTAACCAATAGCCATTATTATGTCCACATCATTGTAAAGCAGTATAAAATAAGCATTTTAGTCAATCATTTCTTAATTTAATGAATCACCTTTATTGTGCTCTGCAGATAATGCAAAGTAAAGTTTTACAACTGAAGTTATAAACTGAAATTATAAGCCGTTATAAATGGCTATTGGTAAGATGATACAACGTTTCTACAAATTCAGCAATTCTCTCTCTCTCTCTCTCTCTTTCTCTCATCTCTCTGTTATCTATCTATCTATCTATCTATCTATCTATCTATCTATCTATCAATCTATCTAAAGTTGTACATGCTCCAACACTGGAAGTTTTTAAGAAGAGATTGGACAACTATTTGCCTGAAATGGTAGGGTTTCCTACCTAAGCAGGGGGTTGGACTAGAAGACCTCCAAGGTCCCTTCCAACTCTGTTATTCTATTCTATCATCCATCTATCATCTATCAATAATCTATCTATCTATCTATCTATCTATCTATCTATCTATCTATCTATC